TTGGGGAAGTGTATTTTTCTTTAGCTTTCATCTCGAGTGGATAATTATACGATTTGTTATAAATTACTGTAATTTATCCAGAAAGTAAATCATTTCGCAATAACTCTTTGCTTTTTGCACATGGAACGTACTACTCTACACACTACTTTTTCTGATTTGGAAACTTTACATATACCTATGTTAACTAAAAGTTACTGTAATCGTCCAAAAATCGAAATTGAAAATTTTTGCATTTCTCGACATTTTGAAGGTTTCTGAACATTTTGGCAGACCTCAGTAAAAATGGATGCGCGTGTGTGTATGTTCACGTTTTCGGGCGCAGGATCAACCGATTTGAATGGTTCAAAGAACATTCGATTCCTATTGATAGGGAGATCTGCTGATTAGTTTTTGGCAAAGACAGGTCCAGCAGTTACGGCGATAAAGAGCAAAGAGTGCAGAAAATGGAAATCGAGTTTTTAAGAGAACGGAGCATCCGATTTGAATGATCTAAAAAACATTCAATTAGTAATATTTGGGAGAAGTGGTTACTAGTTTTTGGCAAAGGCAGGCCCAGCCATTTCAAAGATACAGAGCGAAATGGGTAAAAAATGGCATTTCTGAGAGAACTAAGCGTCTGATTTAAATGATTCAAAGAACTTTCTACTTGTTTTAACAAAATAATTGATTTTGGAAAAAAAATTATTTTAGATTTTATTTTTAATTCTGACTAAAGTTTTAATATACTTTAAAGAAATAATTTTAACTTTGCAATTCAGTTTATATAATTCTTATAAATATTAGACAATGTTACAATTTTTATAATAATCTATTTGAAAACATTCAATATTTCTCGAACATTTCTTTACGTTTATAAGGCTTCTCGTATCTATCATATGACACGATGTAACTAAAAATTTTACCCCCTCGCCGTATAAAACATAAAATTTTTACCCCTGTGCTCATTTCGGTGGAATTTTTGTCTTGCCTTATGGCACGATTGCAGCTTATGTTTAATTAAATTAAATTTGAACGACTCGGATAGGGTTTTAGTATTGTATTATTGTACAATCGAATCATTTTTCCGGATAGACATAAACAAGAAATATTCGTCAGCGATATGAAAGCACAATGCCATAAATCGAAAGCAGAGAATGCATATATTAATTTTCAAAAGCCCGTATGTATGAAACGCACAATAGTGGGCCCAGCAATAAACACACACAAGAGACGCACGTAATTTGCACAATTTAGAATTCATAGAAAATTGTATGTGATTTATTCCGAACAGCAAACGGCAATATTCGCTTTTGAACGCATAACATATATATGTATAAATTCATAGGCATATCTTTGTGTATATAAATTGCGTTTGTGCGTCCATCGATGCGCTTCAAAATTCGCTTTATGCATGACAATTGGCATTATCGTTAGTAATACCAAATGCATTATTAATTTATTATTCAGAACAATAATTAAATTTTTATTTTCGAAACGTATTGGAAATACGTATTTGTAATTGATTTGGAATACGTGAGCGCTTTTGTAATTATACTGATTGCCTACGTAGTCGAGTGGGGCAATCACAATTTTTCCAATGCAAAAACCTGTTTCATTTTTTATGCTTAAAATTAATTTAAGATCTGGTGTTATATTTGACACATGGTGGAGTTGTCACTTGTACATTTCAGAACTTCAAAGGGATAAACATGACCCTTTTATAAAGTAAGATTATAATCTCGTTGCTTTTGTTATAGTAGAGCATCGACAATTTAGAATAATTTGACTAATATTGTTTTTGACAATCTTTTACTTTCATTTTCAAAAACATATGTTCAAGACATTGATTAACGAGTAGCTTTAATTGAAAGAAACAATTGTTTTTAGGAAGTTGTATACGTTTACGAGTATTTGGTATATTTATATTGGAATAACAAAAATAGAAGAATATATGTTATGAATTCAAAATGTCTAGAGACAAATGCAATACTTGTTCGAAAGCTTTCAACAGAAAACATATTTCAAAAAATGTATTTCTTTCAAGTCTTCTATTAATCACAAACCTAGAAGTAGAACGAGCACATTGCTTACATATTATATTGTGTGTGATGAAAGATGAAACTAATAAAAGAGAAACTTATTTTATAATACATCAAAACAGTTACTAATAATAGAAATAAATGCATTAAAAAGATGTATTTTTATATCTCAAACTATAATATACTTATATAAAAATTAATATATTAATCCTCATGCAGTATCATAATTTTCCTTAGGGTTTTTAAGTGACCTGTAACGATTTCTTCCTCGACGTAAGACTTTTTTTTTTAAATTTTATTGGCCTCCGCTTTACAGCACTTTGAGCCACCTACATTATTCATATTATTTTTCATCATATTCTATACAATTATTACACATATATTTCTTATACTTTCATCATATATATACTATCTCTTCTTATATCCTAATCTTCCATTCAGTTTTCTTTCTTCAATTCCATTCAATTTTCATTCTTCTTCTTGTTTCTCAATATGTTCTTCTCATCTTCTAAACTAAACTTCTTTCTTCCTTCTTACTTATAATACAATTTTTTCTTGTATTCTACAAATTAACAATTCTTAATCTACTTTAATATTTTATATTTTTAATTCTGATATTGCTGGAGATTCGAACCGAATTCATCCAGCGTGAGAGTCGAGATCGCTACTGACTGAGCTATTCCCGCCACTGGCGTGAGATTTGGTGTACTTGTACGATTTTCTATCAAAAATTCCATCGTTTATATTTTTTATTTTCATTTAATACCGTTTTCCCCGCACGTCCTAGCCGAGCAGCAGCGTCAGAAGTTTTGCTGCGTGATTCGCGTGTGTTCCCTGCGCCTTATGGCGAAGGCGAAACACATGCGACAAATGCCGCCGCCGCCGCCGTTGTATTACCGCTCGGTCGCAGCAGTCGCAACCCGACGTGCCGCTCAAAATGTCAGCTTCGTTTAATTATGAGAAAAGGAAATATTCATATTATTTAATATCTATATGTTTTTTGGCAACTATTTTACCTTTTGATGGTTAAAAATAAAAGATAAATTTATTTTCTATCAATTTTTTTAATGTTGTTTGAGCTACTATGAGTTAGTAACAATTCTAAATTACATCTAGTATAAATAAGTCTTTGTTTTTGAATTTGGTTTATTTTTGAAGTGCCTCTTTTTACTTGAATGATGCAAAACATAGGCCAGAAATGTACGCGCACTTTACGACTCTTCGCTCCACACGTGTTCGCCAAATGTTTGATAGATACTTTTGTGCTAGTTTCTGGACTGTTTCTGTCATATTGTACAGAGGGCTGGCATTTGCTAGATTATAGAGAGTTAGAAATAAATTATGCACATATTAATAGAGTAAATAGAGTAAAACTAAAAATTAGTTGTAAACCATGACTGTATAAAAATCTAACACGAAGAACTTCAGATTTACTGTTATGGGATTTTGATGGTATGGTAATAGAGTTGATAGTCAAACGAATTCCTTAAAGTATTATAGATCTAAGAGAAGTGGTTTTGTTTTAAAAAAATGTAAGTATTAAAATTTGCTATATTTTTAAAGAGAACAAAAATTTCACTGTTGTATATTACTGCAAAGGCACTATATGTTTGAAGTAATACTTCTTTAGGCGCGACTAGGTTGTAAATCCGTACAGATGCAACGGAAATGCGTTACGGCAGATAAGATAAGATAAGAGTCGATGATTTCATTTCTATACGGGTCGATTGTGATTAGTCGTCGTGTATGTGAATAGAGATCTGTCGTTGTATGCGTACCGGCGTCAACGTCGTATGCCGATATCAACAAGGAAATCGGCATAGATAAATAAACATTTTAAAGTCACATCGTAGTACAAATCTTGATTTAATGAAAAATGCCGGAATCAGAAGAATATTTTACTCTGTTCCTTAATATTTTACCCTGTTCCGTATAAATTATTTCTATATTATTCGTAGTTTCTATAAATCTTTGAAGTTCATCATTTCATTATAATGGAAAATATTTTTTAGGCAAGACAGATATTACAGCTGTTCAAAGAATGAGAATATATCGCGAAAAAGTAAAAAAAAAACACAAGCAATGAATGTATGTTAATTTTAATTACATGAAGTTTTTCAAACACAATTACATGATGAGTGAAGTTGAGAAAACAATATTTGTTTAGGCGTTGTTTAACATAATCCACTGTGTGAACAAATATTATAGAATTTATGATTCAGCAATTACTTCATTTCTCTAATGAAGGTTCATTTCTAAATGCTTTACAATGACAAACCGATCATGTCATATTTGAAGTATGACTTTAATTACATTATTGTTTTAAATATTATACATATTTTTAATGCTATTATAAATATATAATTTATAATTTATCATTATATAGATATGTATAATGGTTGACGCTAATAAATGTGTGCATCACGAGTGTTACCATAATAGACATTATTCAAAACTGTTATATGATGTATTCATTTTTACTTAAATGCCATCTGGTACAGTAGCAAATAAGTTTTACTTCAATCGCGTGTGAACGCACACTCTTTTTTTTATTTATAACTTTACTTTTTGTGATTTAAGTCCCAGTATAATATTTTTCCTGGTTATTTTATCCGGCTCTGTCGATCCTCGATTGGAACTATATCTTATGGTATCTGGTGAAATTATTTCTGTTAAGTCTCAGTGAAATCGTGCGTAATGATCACTAGGCATGTGCTTCATGTTTATTGTCCTAACCACCGACGGAGCATGTTTCAGAATGCTCTTAAACATAAAACCAAAGTTAGTTTCGCAATCTTTATGTCGGAAACGATGGAAAACATCATTGTATAGCAATTAAAAAAGTGAAATATTTTAAAATTTGAGAGCGACGTGAATAATAATACTAAGCTGTTCTACAATATGCTACTAAACAAACCAGTTTATGAATTAGAACCTTTAGATGTGTTTTTAATTACACTACAATGTTTTTTATAATTCCAGATGGCTTTAGATGCTAAAACTATCAAAGAAGAAATTCCAGATAAAGATCTGTATCCTGAGACGCAACGCAGAAGCAATGGTGAGTGAATGTATGATGATTAATTTAATAGTTAATTGGTAATATAACATTTTCGAATTTCTTCGCTCCCAAGGGTTCAAATGGTTCCAAATTGATAAAAAACAATTATCTGAAAGTTTTAGCTCTTAATATTGTTTTTTAGATAGAGCGCAATACTATCAAAGTTTTGTATGGAAATAGCATGAAATTTTTTTCAAAAATTTTAAAAATGTTTTTAGATATAATTTAGCGAACGATAAAAAAAAGATAAAATTTTTTAATTTTCAATTTTTTTTTCATGCTATTTCCATACAAAACTTTGATTGAATTGCGCTCTATCTAAAAGAAAATATTAGGAGCTAAAACTTTCAGATAATTGTTTTTTATCAATTTGGAACCATTTGAACCCTTGGGAGCAAGGAAATTCGAAAATGTCCATATTAAGGACCACCCTAATATATATATATATATATATATATATCTTGATAGTTTTTTCGACGTTGAAACATATTTCAAAGTAACTAGCAGCCCATTCGTCGAAATAAAAAAGGTATAAAGTGTAAAACTTTTATTTATACGTTTCGACACAAGATGCGTGTCATCATTCAGCAACACAGGACAAAAACACTCAACAAAAATTTATTTTAAAAAATTAAACTTAATAACATATTAGAGAAAAACATTTTTTTAGAAAGAATTATGAATAACTAAAAGATTTGAAACTAATTTGAATAAAAGTTTTAAAATACATAATTGTGAGACGAGAAACACGCCCATACCGAGCATCCAGACTCGACTCAATATATATATATATATATATATATATATATATCCTGATTCCATCTCACTGTGATAAAAACATTGTCTTAATACCGAACAAACCAGCATGTTTCTTGTTCCTCCTTACTTAGCGATAGTTTGCACAGAATTTCTCGCTCTCTGATTTAAAATACTTTCGTTTAATCTGGAACACAGATCTTCTAAGGGCACCACCATAATATTATGTGCTTCGGTTGTGTTATCATAGCCGAAATGTATACCGAAATGTGCTGGTTTCAATCCCAGTGCAGGCAAAGTGTAGAGAGAGCTGGAAATAACAAATGTAAAAGAGAAAAATTTGTTAAATAGGTAAAATACTGCGGAAACCGTATATGTGTGTGGGATTGGTTTGATGTGTGGGAATGCACGGGTGGTCGGGGACAGGGCTGGGAAAGTAGAATCTTTGGAAATAGAGTCTTTTTTAATTATTTTAACTAGCAAAAATAGATTTTTAATATAAAATCTGGGAGATATTAATACATACGCATAGTTACCTAATCATAATTAGATTTTTTCATTTGACTTGATACAACTGTTTATGTAACATCAAGTAACAGAGTTAATTATTTACAATGTATCTTGTATTAAACATTTAGTAATAGGGTATTACACTTAGTTATAATAGCATTCAAAAGACTATCCTATAGTAAGCCTTATATTGAACTAGAATTGAAAAAAAATCGAGGAAAAAAGTTCCTTAGTGTTATGATCTATCATCTAAGCCAATAGAAGATGACCGATTCTGTCTTGGATATATTTTTAATAAATCTACTGTTTATGTTATATGTATTTACTATGTGTAATTACTATATTTCTTACAACTGCTAAATAATTAACATTTAGTAACGGTAATGAACTATTATATAAATGTAATAAACAGATCACAAAATAAAGAATAGAATTTTCAATAAAAAGATATCCATTGATTTAATATAAAATAAAAGCAAATAATGATAATAAAATTAATAAGTAAAATAAATAAAATTTCTGAATAATAAAAATAATACTAAAAAAAAAATAAAGTAGAATAGTAACAATAAGTGAAAGATGATAACTAAAACATAAACACACTAAATAATAACTATAACAAAATAACAATATTATAAATAATAAGATAATATAATAATAATAATAATAATAATAATAATAATAATAATTAATAATAACATCAATGTTAGCTTCTACAAATGGCTATTTATGAGATCATTGGGAATTTTTCGTTTTAGCCTGGTTGGACGCGCTTTTGAAAATACTTTCTATGCCAAGTAATTTGGGTGTTCGTCAATTCTTCGTTTATAGTTTTCTGATTTTTGTTGAATTTCTTCATTTACTGTCATCATGTTGCTGTCCTGGTGAATCAACCAGTTGGGAACGTACCTGGGTGCGTTCAGTGTTTGCCGTATGATTTTGTTCTGCACTCGCTGAATGATCTGTATATAGTTTTTTTTGGCGGTGCCCCATAGTTGAATCCCATAGGACCACACTGGTTTGAAAATACATTTGTAAATAATTAGTTTGTTGTTTGTCGACAGTTCGGATCGTTTATTCAGCAACCAGTAATGTTTTTTAAATTGTTTATCAATCTGCTGTTTTTTCTTGTTAATGTGGACCCTCCAGTTCAAATGTTTTATGTAATTAGCATCAGGATGAAAATATTCTCAGTTTTATAATTCATTGTTTTTTACTCCCTGGCCCTGGTCATGGTCGCATTCGTTGCTTTTGCCGGGCCGGTTTGTTTTATTGGCACTTCATACGGGCACCACTATCCGCTCTCATTCCGCGCATCAGACTCCGAGCTCGTTATTTCTGCTGGATTATAACGGGGTAGTTTTCGCATACTAAACATTCATCAAAGATATTGTAAATAGAGGATTATCCGAATTTCCAAAAGATTTATAACTGATATTCAATTATAACTTAAGATATTACTAGGAAATTAAATTTTACTAAAATTTTCTTTTATCTTGGTACCTTGTAGGTATGTTGTTCATATAATAATATGCCATTGGGGTTATATAATATAATTACTAACCACCCTTAATTATGTCAATTTACTATTCGATGCCTAATTAAAATGAACACATGTTTTTACAAAACGGATCAGCATTAATTATCATAATAAAACTACTTATGAAACCGCAGTCGTTATCAACAGTTGTCAGGCCACATATATGTAGAAGCCCTTTCTAACAAATTGCTCTCATAGATCTGTCAGCTAACAAGGGCGCCTTTCTCTCATCCCCTAAATTCGGAATGACAGCGATAATGGATCATTAGAAGGTTTCGCATAGACACCCTTAGGAAAGCGTTGGAGGATTTCATTTGGTTTTATGTTGAATTTGATAAAATTGTCAAGGATGTTATTTTTAAGAAAGATTTATTTATACATGTAGTTTTAAATCTGTTGGTATATCAGGATGTGGATGGTTATGGACATTTAATAAGTTTTCGTAAAAAATCTATATGTTCTAGTTAAAGGTCCAGGGTTGATTTGATAAAAGTTTACATATATATATATATATATATATATATATATATATATATACTATGGTATGAATGCAAATAAAAAGTATCGTTTTGCCAGTGCGCTACTGTTAGTTACCCCGAAGGCTTAAGGGAGGTGACAGCTGTTTCTATTCTCTTGGAAGATATAGAGGGTAAAACACCTGCTCTACTAAGGTTATATACTCTATATCATAGTACTTACTACATATGTATTTATACATATATATATGTATATATATATATATATGTATATATATATATATATATATATATATATCGAAATATTTTCATTTTCCTTAATTTATTGCTTTCACATATATTTGTAAAATTGTATTTGCCCCAATTAGGAAACATCCCCATTCGAGCAAAGTTTTCGGCCTGTCAAACATTTACCCTCTTCCCGCGTTAATTTTGCAAAATCGAACGAAAAATTCAAACTCTTGTTAACGACTCGAAATGAATCACAGCCTCATGTGACATTTCGCGCTCACTGCAATCGTTCATTATGCGAGATTTCCACGGATTTTCACACAAATCTCTGCGTTCTGACGTCATGTCGAAAATCGGAAAACGGATCTAATTGGAAAAATCTACGGTGCTGAAAAACGATATCAAAAGCGTTTTGCGAAAACTCGAGCTCGTGCGTTGCACGATAGCGCGCCGGAATAGTGAGTTATTGAATTTTGTCACTTTAATTTCAGTTTTTGCAGATATTACTTATACAAATGTATACTTTATTGAATTTTACTTTTATATATACATTTATAGTCATATAAATCCTATTGCGATTAATTCTTTAAAACCAGTATTAAATTAAATTCATTTTTTCACAAACAAAATTGGTCAAGAAATGTTTTCACAATTATATTTAGTAATCTAATTACTATACAATTTAGTACAAAATTATATAAATTGATGAAGTACTCTTTTATGTAATGAGTCGAGATTGCTCATTTAACACGTTTGAAACTTTATAAATTAAAACTTCACAAACTAAAGACGAATTTTGCATTTTAAGTTTTACATCCTGTACTTCGCAAAAATAATTACAGCTTTAAGTAATATACATTTCGATAAAGGTAAGATTGCTTTTGAATTGAATTATAATAAAATTAAAAATTACCTTATAAATATCATTTTACACCGGGTTATTTTTTAGAATTTTACATTTGATGCAGAATAATCCTTTGATTAACTGGTCATAAATTATGAAATCTTTGCGGATTTTCCGACCAGGAAAACACCAGGAACAACCAACCAGTGAGATCTCGTTTTGTGTGCACAGTAGGGCAATAATTAACGCTTATCCCCTTTTCCTCTAGGAGTGCAGGTGGGTTATTAGATGTTGTATGCCTATGTCAGGGGGGAATAACATTTGGTGAATGGAACTTGTGTTAATGGTCAAATGGGATATTATTACTAGCATTTATGTAATTGTAATGAGTTTTAATTTTATTCAGAAACGTCTGGGAAGTAATATTTTTACTAGAAAACATATTGCTATATATATTTTTATTTTTGTGGCAGCACTGCTTGACATCAGGTTTTTGGTTTTGGATAATAAATCTGAAACTTGATTCGAAGTTCATAGCTACAATGACTAAGCAATGGGAAAACTCAAAATGTTAATGTTGCAAATTATTGGAAATTTTGATGTTTTTGGTTTTGTTTTATTAACTTCCCGTAGGGCAAGTTAT